GGACCTACTTCAATGTTCCATTCAGGCTGCCTGCGAGTGGAGGGTAGTTGTAGAGTAGCTGAAGGCCAGTTGAACTGTTCCACCCATCGTCCTAAACGTCTGTACTGAGAGCAGGTAGGAGTGTAGTCTTTTTCTGAGATCGTCGCATTTACACTTGACTTGGCTCTACGTTATGAGTCCATAATTATTATGATATTTTACAAAAGCCAAAATAAAGCATGCATTAGTAAATTTTACAATGCTATATGTTGAAAATGGTGAACGTTTGCGTCTACTTCAATATTTTGTTATTTGTAAATTAGAAAGGCCATTTAATAAAGGTTAGAATGATTTGTCGTAGTACTTTCAAGCCAAAATCAATATGATAGCAACATAATAAATGTTAATATACGTAGCAATAATAATAATAACGTTGTGTCAACAATAATGTATCATTGTGGCTTGCTTGTCTAACTAGTTTCAACAGAGGTCATTAGAATTTCTGCAAAATTTATGAAATCAGTTAAAACGTGTATAGAGAGAAAGAAATGACTCATCCGGCAAAGTACAATTCTGAATAAGTAAATAAATAACACTTTGTACAACCTATTGATAAAATCTATCTTTACAGAAAATACTTATTACTCATATGCAATAACAAAGAAATACACTCAGGAAGCATATGCATAAAACAGAAACAGATCAAAATTCATTTCGAAGATCAACAAGGAGAAGATACTAAAACAAATTAATCATCAGTCTTTTTTGTATTTAACTTGATAGTGTCAGATGTGAATTTTTAAAAACAAAACCATATTACAGTTCAAAGTATTCTCATTAAATGATTTGAAGTTATTTTAACACTTTAGTCTCTATTGATTTTCACTTGACAATAGTTTGTGTGCTAAAACTATCGGTTGATTTCATATACAAACATCAGAATATTCTTCGAAACCAATACTAAACTGAAGTATGTGTGCGTGTGTGTATGAGCAAATCTAAAGGCAATTCTGTTTATTCACTGTAAGGGATAACATATAAAAGACCGAGCAATATAACAAGCACAAGAACAATCCTGTGAATAAAAGATGACTTTTCTAAATGAAAATGGATCAACCGTTTCTTCAATCATTATACTATGAAATGGATAAATAAATCAGTTACAATAGAAATAAATGCACTAGGTTGAGTCAGCAGAACCTGCCAGAAGTCACTTCGACTAGTAAAACAGATGAGTTGAAGCTTCGTCATACTGTAGACAAGGCTAGGCAAAAATAATAAGAATTGCCGAATCAACTCTTCAAACAAAATACTAGACAAGATTAGCACATCGATAATGACCGATTGAAAACCACGTCCCTCAACCTGTAATTTTTGCACAAGTCAGGACAAGTATTTCGAAACATGATTGGACACCGTTGATAGAACATAATTCTCAGTTTCACTTTACGTATTTTAACGCAAAAGTCAATGTATTCAATTCTTCATTACATCTCACTGTGTGTTCTTTAATTATCTCTACTGTTATGAAACTTCCTGTGATCGACATGTAACATAGGTGAGGTGAAATTGGTAAACATGCGCATAAGCATCATAAGTGAAATAGCTCACTGAGTTGATCATCCGAAAACCTAGGTTGAAGTGTTTCCCATTAAAAAATATAAATGGATTGTTATGGTTATCATGTGGACATCTCGACGTTCGACACCCAACAATGAAAAACCTCCTATCTAGAGGAAAGTATTTAAACCTCATTAGAGTGATCGTCAGTAGAAATTTCGACAACTTTCCTGTAAACACAGAACTGTGTGTAGTCTTGATTATTTATGACAGAATCTCGTCCAACATTTCACACAACGATTAGAAATGTTGTGAAATAGTTATGAGGCTGTAAGTGCTTTATAATGGAGAAAACAAGGCTAATCGTCTTCGAGAGTCACCATTAGTTGAGTGTTCAAAAAATCAGTTTCTCAACCATTCAGTAATGAATGTCCACGCAGTGTTTTATCCAGAGTGATGCGTTGGCACGTTCTAATATTAGCCTATCACTGAATCGCAGAATATTTATCGGGTCTAGTTTTTAAAGCTTATCGATTCACCAGTGCATTTGGTAGAGATCGAGATCATTAACGGTTCACTGGACAACAATAAATTTTATCTCTCTGACTCAGTCCGCTTTAAGTTACTGATCTACGATTCTAACTAGAATTGATGAAGATTATTCGAAACAGTCTGTGGATGTTTTCACATTTACAAAGTGCTGGGTCATAAGATGTTTGTCTTTGAAGTTTCTTGAGTGTTTGCTGTATATTAAAGAAGATCCACCTAGAACAATCCAAATATGCTTGAAAATTTCACAAATATCTGGAGTTTGACAACGCTTTAATCAGTAACACCTTCTTATATGAATCGTACCCACCAAGTGAAATCAAAAGACAGAAGCGAGGAGGTTAGAAAATATATATGATTGGTTATCTATGTACCGAGAATCGTCTGATCTAATCTGGCTAGCGATTCCAGGGGCTGTTGAGCACGGCGTTCCCATCGTGATCTGGTGCTGATGCATGACCGAGTGCCTTCAGCTAGGTAAGTCCATTAAGACTAATGTGGTCAGCATCGGATGTCGAAGACTTACAGAGCTATTTATTTTGGGGGCTTATTTACCGCTAAAGATCACCCCCTACCCTAGTGGGGTAGTGATGACTCTAAGACGTGGCCAAGAAAAAGTTTAAACCCAACGAGTTTGGCGTTGATAAACACTCTTCTGATAGCTTTCTAGGTTTAGCAGCGTCTGGTCATCTTTCCTTACGATGAGGGATCATGTAGTATAATATAGTAATAAAGAAACAGCGTACAATGAAAATTTCGGTTCATCGTAAACTTCGTCGTTGTTTTTCGTCTTTTCCAGCCGTTCTGGAAAATAAAAAAGGATATGTAAGTGCATGTCGAAATACACACGTACGCGCGTATAAACACAAAGTGGGCGAACAAGAGGAAAATAAACTCATGCACACGTGGTAGCGTAGGATTTTCAAAAAATGGTCTTTTTGAAATAAAAATATAAACAAATAGGCATATTAAAATCGTTTTCTATATAGTACAAAGAAAAAATCGAGATGATATAAAATGTCAACTAGTATCTTACGTGTAATAATCGTCCAAATGTTCTATCAATCTTACTCTTCTTCCAGAACCCGTTGTTTTAAGTTTATTTTCAGATAATAACGAGGTACTACGTTGGGCTCACCAGTGTTTTTCACTAGCGTAGATGACCTTTATCGGATGATTGGGGGCCTATTAGAATCAGACAGGAATGGTGTGACGAACAAGCTAACGACGAAATCACACCTGGCGGTCAGTACCTTATCTGAATTGCCCCATAGACGTATCAAGTTCCTATAGATGCTTTGAAGACTTTACAATACAAAGGACGTTATTACAGAAATATATTTAAAGTAGATACAAGTGAAAGTAAGACCCCCAACGCATGGGCCAGTCCATGGCATACGACTAACTGATGCGCTTTGGTCTCCCTTGACCTTGACAGGGCTAAGTGACATTTCGCTGGCACTACATGCTGATTAAATTCAGTTGTGAGAAAGAGTAGTTGATTTCTTTCTCCATGTACATACATCTCATCGGTATGATGATTTCGTTTCATTATTCGTTTAGTTCTACATTAAACAACAAGTTACAAACCATAAACATTTCACGATTACACTCAAGTGGTGTTTGAATGAACTAATGATTAATTTGTACTTGTTGAATGCTTCATTTCGAATTGTAAATACAGTACATTCGTTTGTGGTTATCTAGTACTTCTTGATCCTATTACGTTATTTCTGTGATTCTTAGTTCGTACTATAATTCAAATAATCCTGATTATCACAACTCATTCTGTTAAATAAGTGCGCGATGAATTTCGTATAATCGAACCGTTACTTACCATCCAAAATTATACATCAATAGTTAGTCGGTCAAAAATACTACAATCGAAATCCGATAAGGACAGCATAGGATGACTTAGCTACTAACAATCATCGCTTCTTATCAATCATAATTGCATGCATAAATTCACTCTGCATCTATCTTGAAACACTTAGCATCTTTATCGTTCCGTCTCCACTGAGGTCGCTTGCATTCGTGCCTCTCCTGTCTCACTCAATGTTTGTATATTCGTGTTGACATTGTCACCATTTGAACGATGTAGTTCCATCTTGACGGATAATAATTTCCTGTTAACGTTTCTAACCTGCAAAAGTTATTGTCATTCATTTCATCGATAACTAACATTGATATCCCATCTGTTCTAATGGATCAATCCAGACTTATTATCAATAGTGACAGTGAATGTTATACATACCATTATTGTTAAATATATTGAGTGATACAAGTTGCAAATTTTGCTTTATTTATGTTTTGAAGTGATCTCTTAATAAATTAAATTTCCTGTTCATTGATTTTCATCGACTGTAAGACAGTCAGCCATAGACAATGTAGAATTTGGCAAATATCTGCATCGGTTCAAGTTCATAAATCGTTTAGGCACCACCAGATGGAATTGCCAAGATGAATACGAATGGTAGAATGAGTGACAGTATCAGTAGAAAATATCAGGCTTAAACAACATGGTCCGACAAGAATAAATGAGACTGTATAATAAACGGTATAAGATCATTTTAAAGTTCAAGATCAAAAGAAAGATAAATATTGAATGTATATGTTTCACTGTAACCTAATCCGAGTCAACCCACACAGGCCTCCAACCTTGATCCCGGTAAACGAACGTATGCCAAAGAACAAGTTTGAACCTACTAACATGGCTCAATCCAATTATCAATGAGTACTAGTATAGGGGTTGTGGAGATTATTAAGTTTTTGATTGAGATCATGAACCGATTGATGTTAGACCACCACAATTGAGAACCTGGAAGCACTGGACGGCCGTTTCGTCCTATTGTGGGACTCCTCAGCAGTGCGCATCCACGATCCCGCGAGCGGGATTCGAACCCAGGGCCTTCGGTCTCGCGCGCGAACGCTTAACCAACTGGACCAATGAGTACATGAACTAATCCCATGTCTTGGTTTGAAAGCCTGTAGCTTTCTTCCAACCGACTCCTACAACAAAAGATTCCCTCACGCTGGGTTTCTTCAAAATAAATATATGATTATGTGCAATCTGATCTGCACCCCCAACAAATAACTCAGCTCTCTGCAGAAATCAAGGTTCGTCATTACAACACATGTGATGATTCTGTACACCAATTATTTCAACTGTCGATTGATTGTATGAAATTTGTAATAAGAGCAATCTTCACTATCATATGACCAAAATAAATCTCTGAGCAAGCGTAAGAATAACCTCCAATGAATCGCAATATGCTGCTAAATCATGTAAGCTAATTAGATGAATTTCATATTCATCACCTTAAGAATTTTCAACCGTGTCAAGGTCACTTTAATTGTACATCCTTTCAATGCTATCGGTCGCTAGGTTTACATTTGCACACACCATCAACTACCTAATCTCCTTCAATCTTTCTGAACGGCATTCTTGTTGTTTAATATACCTTACCACCAATGATAATACTATTATTGATCCGACTCATTTGATTTCAAACTGGTCCATTCCAGTTAATTGAATTGATGTGATGTGGCTACTAGGTCACTTGTATATTTGTCTCAGAACAAACATCGGTTATTACTGACTGATCCAATTCTTCAAAGTTCCACAACTGACTATTAACACAATCCTCATGCTAATTCAACCCATCAAGCAGTTTTGATACACTATACACTGGTTAAAAATGAGTAGTTGAAACTATGTCTATCTAATATATATTTTGTGAAAGCGTATATTCACCCTGACAATCTTTTGCTGCTTGTGAAACACTCAATTATATTCCGAACAACAGCAAAACTAATACAAGTAGAAACATGATAAATAAAAAACACACTTTGGATAGCACAAGTATCACATATTTTATCAAGTATTCATTTGAAGAAATCGTCACAGCCAACCATGAAAAAAGTATGTTGAAACAATACATTAAAAATCAAGCAAGTATAAAGAAATAGATCAAAGCAAACTCATCAATGTAAACAGTAAATATCCATTGAGCTTCATTTTTCATCTACGTTGCCTGAAACCTCTGAAGTACGTTTACGAGAACCTTCAAACACTGAACCGATTAAACCATGAGCAGTGGTTAACAAATTCACTGGTGTCGTCCCATCTGTAATTAATGTACTTTGCAGGCCCAAAGCGTTCAACATGCGTAGATTATGGTCTGATTCAGCTGTTGCCATTGCACGTAATGTATCTGCACCTAATGCATTCACCATTGAAATGAAACGCGATTTCTCGATTTCTGTTTCGTCTTCCTTATACTTTAGAGCTAATTCATTCTTTTCCTTGATATAGGCGATCTCTGCAGCTCGAGCCAATTTGAGTCTTTCTAATTCTGCATTCTGAAAATATTGTTTAAATTCATAAAACAATACGATCAGTGATTGAGATAACGGGATAGGGAAGATTAGATCTGACATCCATAAGTGGGAATCTTTCGAAGCACCAATGCGTCCTACAATCAGTATTATCATACTGTAGGATTATTCACATGTGGTCTAATTGTAGAATACGGTGATATGTCTATTAATGGTAGAGTACATGAAATCCCAGAGATTACATTTGTAAAGAATATTGTTTGGAAGATTTAAGAAATCTTCAAAAACAATGAGGATGTGATTATCTTATAAAATTTAACTGCGAGTTCAGCTTCCTTATGTTCTCAAGCGTCGATAATAAGAACAAAACGTGACAGCAATTCTGTAAATACATTTTATGTCATTCCTTCTCTCTTCTCATTACATTCTACTACTATATTTCCTCATTTTATTATTGACGTGTTTATCTGGCTACATTCCCAGTCTCTATGTCGCACTGAATGTGTTGAAACACAATGGCAAATTATGAATACTGAACAATAATTATTGTTTCAAAGTCTCTTCATCAGTTTATCACGTTGAGTTTCATTACAAGTGCATGCAACAAATCCATGTATAATGTTTATGAGCTGAAACTCGAACGAAATCAATCTTTCACGATATATAATTCAATCTAACATCGAACAAGTTTTCATTATATCCACTTACGATCATGTCAGAAACTATAACAAGACTAACACAAATATTCTCACAAATTTGAGTCACAATTGTAGATAAAGAAAACAAATTGAAAATGTAACTGCAAACGTCCTCACCGTTTCAATAGATAAGGCTTCTGCTCGAAGTTTAGCTTCTTCCACTGCAGCTTGACTGGAAATACGATTCGCCTCAGCTCGACTTTCTGCTTCGGCCTTCGCTTGACTACTACTTTCTAGTGCAGCCAGTTGCACTCGGATTTCAAGCAAATTACGCCTGGCTTGTTCAGCAGCCGCTTCATCCTCAATTCTTTGACGCTCTAACCGACCTCTGGCTTCCTGTTCGAGTCTTTCCGCTTCGTGACTAAAATACAATACCACAGAATAAACTTCACTATCGAAAACTTCATTCCCGGTTCTCAGCATGACAATTAAATAACTTACCCCTAGTATTCATACTCGAAATGAAATTTTCAAAACAGACAAAGGTAATGCCCCATTACACATCAACTATACACTATAAACCGGGGAAAAGAAACAGTGAAAACACGTTATATTGTAAAGAAAACTTAACCGACTAACACTACTGACTTCATGCACACCTTAACGAGTATTGTACACATGACTACACAGTTCAAAATATTTTCCAAAACGAATGCAGCTTGCTTACCGTGCAGCTGCCTCTTGCGAATTGGTCGTTATCTCAATGGCAAGTTGGACTGACTTCTGCAACGAATCCCGAGTTCGTTGATCCACTGGCTCCACAGACTGTACATCCACGCTTGTAATATGCAGGTTATTTTGAGGAAAAACTATTCGATCCCGAACCTTTCCAGCTTCATCCAATCCGAATACGGAGGCACGAATAATTCGTGATGAGTGCTAAATAAAAATATAAAAGAAACGAGTATGGTTCATGACAGTGTTTCCGCCTACATGGGGACTCATCAATCAGATCTAACCAAGTCCCGGCTAGTATTGAGGTTTCTCTTGAGGCTCGAAATCAGTATTCAACACTTACAGTACCAAAATCTAGTTCAGAAAACTACCATACCTTTCTTTAAAAAATCTAACTGGCAGTAGAGGTATAAGGCTCCCCACCGAAACAAAACCCGTATGATTACACTAATTTCGTACTCAAACACTGGTGGTGTAACTAGTTTGAACGATTCTCCAGAACTACGTCTCTCTTCAAATACAATTACTTGACCGATGCATATATGTGCTTGGTCCTACGTTGTAGCTGGGTGACTTACTGATTCAATTCTTATTCTTCATCACCAAAATTTATCTTACTGTAAACCAACCAGATCATTTTGATGAAGGAATCTTCTTACTACTCCATTCTATATTTGAGAAACAAGTATGGTGATACGCAATGTGAATATTGAAAGTGGAAAGAATAATACATCATTTAACAAACTTTCTGGGAATCACAATGACTCCTCTCTCCATAAAATTCTACACAGTTCATGTGACACATTTTGTTACAACTCGGTACACTTTCTAGGATGGAGATACAAAACAGTAGTCATTGAGAAACAGAAGCTTTAACTCAACTACATAAATAACTGACCTATGTAATACTCATGGTCAACTTTAAGTTTCTTATTAAATGGTACAACACCACTAAGTATGTTTATTTCGAATAAGAGATTGGATTTCAAGTAATTTTTACTGGCTCTCAGACTTGTCCTTACTAGCCTGCATTGAACCATGGTATCTTGAGCATTTTGGAACGAAGATTCTTCAACTCAAGCATCATACATTCAAAAATAGATGCCGAAATTCTAACCGTAATTAGCTAATTCAACATGAAGATATGACACTCACCAACTACATCACAAAGCACAAATCGCTGACACATTGAATAATGAATTTTGATACGGTCTTTAAGTACCGCATGCATTATGCAAAGTGCAAATCTACAGCAAAATGATCTGGTCTGGCTGTATCACTTTAAGAGTGAAGATTATGACTCCAGAAGGTGAAAGAAACAAGTTGCCTTAAAGTGTCTAACCAAGGATCTTTTCAAATCATTGCAAATTTACAGTAACAGAACCAGGCGAGCAATTCTGATGACATTGTGCACATTCATTGACTGAATTGCTTTGTTATAGGTAATGCGTGTTCACTGAATACATTGCTGTGCTATGCTAGTTAAAATAGGACCACAACTGTATAACTAGATACTGACGTCCAAGTACAAATGCACTGAACAAATGCTATTAGTCGGTGAAGAATTTAAACGACATCGCTCTATATCGGTATCAGTATCAGTACCACACATCCTATCATACTTTAACTTTCCATAGATTCTGAACAACAAACTATTCTAGACTTTCACTCAACCATTCTACTTGTCTTTCTTTCAGTTTCCTACTACACTTGGTATTACTATCTTTCCTGCAACTACTTGCCACTCGTTTATTTATTCTCACTGTGTGTATGTATTCGGTAGTAATTGAATAGATATTCATTCGCACTACATCGTACGTTGTTGCTGTCCATCTTCCCACCTCCCAAAAACTCAGTCAAGTTTCTAAGATATGTTTACTAAACGTTTCTCAATAGCTCTCGTCCGCGACAACATGCTAACAAAGGGTGTAAAGCATATATGTTGTTGCATGAAGTTTGGTCATATCACTCTCTTATCACTAAGAGTCACAATCACACTACAACTCAACACCACAAATCAATCCTTCATTTAGATATCGCAGTAACTAATAATGTCTCTAACAAAACGTATACAGTTGCTACGAGAATTTCGTGAGAAGGCACCTAAACGATTGACGATTAACTAAGGCCTCATCCACCTGCATAAATTTGTAATATGATCAGTGTACTGATCTAATAAAACCACTAGACTGTAAAATGATAAACCTTACCTTATGAAAATCATCGAATTGGACAGATGCAACAGTGCCACGAACACGAGATGCAATAGCTTTACAAGCATCTCCAACAAAATCAGGCACTGAAAATAACTTAGCAGCATCAGCTGCACTGCATGATGGAGAGACATCGAACACCCAATTGTACGACAGTTGCAAAGATAAGCGAGCATGGTCCGCAGTTTCAACAATTACAACATCGGTACAAAAATCTGGACCTAACAGTAAACATAGACTTTTAATCACATTCGGTTTCTTCGGTTTCCCACCACTCAGGCTCAAACGAGTAAATTGTTCATCCGGTCCTAACATAGCTAAATTTGGTCCAAACTCGACTCTTGCCCTTTTATTTTTATAGTCATAAATTTGAACTGCAGCATTGTGTGGAACACGGAAAGTAACTACACGAGTTGGGTCAAGACGGTTAACTGAATCTGGAGGAGATCGAACTCCGCGGTCAGCAAATGGGTCAATATTACTTTCCAGCAACTGAACAACCTCAGGTGGGAGTTTCTTCTCCCATAATTCTTCATCTTGATTTAACATATAAGCTTCACCAATAACAGCACGAACTTGTCCTGTTTGCATATTACGAACATAGATCCCTTCATTACAATCGAGAGGAATTACATTACGACGGTCTACCACATCCACTTCAACAGGAGGTATGTATTCGATGGGTCCACGTAACATCCACCGATCACCAGGACGACGTATCTAAAACCAGTGAGGTGTTAAATAAAATCAAAACACTAAGTATGGTAGTATTCAACTTAGCAGGGTAAACATCTCTACCAAATAATAAACATTTCTTTAATAAATTAGCGCTCACTGAAGAAAGGAAACAATCATAACGAACGGGAAAATAATAAGTGGGTTGATTCGAACTGGATCAACAAAATAAACACAACAATAACATCTTGAAAAGGCGAGTTCGACTTAATTTCATGAATAATAAAACACCAAAATGGCAGGACTAACATGTTGAATCTCCGCCATTCGTAAATATTCGATCACCAGACGAGCTCGAGAACTCCGTATGCTAAAGTTACTTGTCTTCGCATATTGCGTTTCATAAACTACATCGCGAAGCCAAACAATATACTAATAATAAGGAATTTTACTAATCAAATCCCATACTACTAGAAATGTAAGTTCCATGTGACTTAATAACCAAGTACAAGTTCATATACTCAGACTTGAGTCACATTGTTTCGTAAAAATGCTTATTATGCTACTTGGCTGGTGGAATTCCAACTCAAATTCGAACAATCAAATCTTTCTACATATGACGCACAACTCTACATAGTAACATACCCACACATTACCTTAATTATTAGCACTATGCTCCTATATGAATTGTCCTTTATCCTAGTCAGCCCTAGCATCGATTGAGTCAACAAATTACGTAGGAGATATGCAACCAATTTATCAACACCAAGAACCGCAATCCAGTAAAGTGAACAGACTATAGTTTCACTGACACGCAGCACATACAAAGTCAACATCCAATTCCTCATTAACTATTCAAAACAACAAACCACAAATTCAAATTGGTGTTTAAACTTTTCTAGACTTATGACCATTTTAAGTGAGGTAAATATTAGAACAAATAGACCTGGTTGACAATACAAATTAGAAACTTACACATTTCTGCTTTACAGAGTCCCCCTCAGATATAGCGTCCCCACATATATCGTCAACAAACTGTTCTTTAGCTCGAAGAATAAGGCCTTCGTCGTTCTGCAAAATATAAGCATCTTGAACTCCCGTTTCCAAATACTCTCCTGGTCTCAGAAAGAATGACTTCTCACCACGTACTAATAATTTTCTCCCTAACTGAGGAACACCGTTCTCATCCCAAGGGTTGACTACCACACAAAACTGATGGACACGTAGGATTGTAACATCAACCTCTTTCACAAACTCCTCAAGTGCGCTGCAAATGTGATACTCCGCATCTTCATGTGTAATTAACCACTCTTCACCAGCTTTGCGATATTTCCCGAACTTGTCACAATGAGACTTAACAGCTTTGACACATATCGCTCGCTGAAAATGAATAATAACGTTGACTAAATAAAATACTCAATTGTCAGACCGATACGTAATTTTAGAAGCATTATACCTGTCCGTACAGTCTTGGCCTCACGTTGTCGAACAAAGGCATGCACAGACCTATATATCATTCAGTAAAATAAACAATGCATTACCTATGTAACATACGTGGTGTCAACAAACAAAATACCAATTCTAATTTAAAGGCCTTCACGTCGGGTATCTTTACTTGAAAGTACGTTTGAAAGTTGAGACCATTGTTTAGTCATTGTTTTCATACAAACTTTGATAATCTTTGTCTACTTTTTGGAGGAACACCGACGAACAGTAACTGTTCTACAACGTCAAATAAAAGCCTGTGCATGATTGAAGAGATGGCAGACTTCGTACGACTTAAGCTTTGATTTTCAAACCACTATTTTTCCATTCCGTTTGGTTTGCGTGAAGTCATTACCATAACCTTCTAACGCGAAGCGCACGAAATCCGATGCATGTAAATAATTATAGAATGTATATCTGCAAATACATTATGTCGATGGCTTTTAGATTTCTGTAATACGTTTTATAAGTTGGTTAAACAGAGGAACAGATTCATCACCGTTTTGCATCGATTTAAAAACACTGTTTGGTAACGCTTAGCAACAGAATCCAGAATGCACGTTCCTTCTCATTGGGGACTCATCAGATTTAAAACGCTCGTGACTTAGTTCCAATATATATATATATATATATATATATATATATATATATATATATATATGCTAGAGAGACTGATCTATTGCAGTCCTGAACATCAACAACGGGACGACTCAAACTCGTACAAATAGAAAAGAATAACATGATATCATATTCATCACAAAAGCCAGTAATATATAATAATAAGCAAAGAATATCTCATTCTGTGGACAGTAGTTTCATAAACAAATATACAGATATTTACTCTTCTGACCAGTAATCACGTCTACACAGGTTTACACCGACTAATTTTAGTCTCATTACCACAACTTGGTGAAGTATACAACCAGAATATGAGCAATCAGAAAATAGCTAGTTACAAAAGGTTACCCAATAGTTCACGTACTCTGTCTGTTAGTGTAATCGCTTTGCGTTCGTCGACAATTTGCTCATAGACACCAGGGAGGTATGCACCTGGTGTCGTCACTAACCATCGTTCACCGTAAACACGAGGAACACCACCTCGATCGACGCAATCTTTCGTGGCCTCCATTACAAGAGCAGAGTTGACAAGAATTACTTTGGCTTGCTCGCATTTTATGATTTCAACCTCTTTTCTAGGGTAATAGGTACCTACAGAGGAAAACAAAAGAAATCCACATACAAGTTATACCAACTACATGAATAAAACAAGTTTATTTAGATATTTAAATGGAGTCGGATTGTTTTCTTTCACTTACATATGGTCAAAACATATATTAAAAAACACGAACTTTGATAGCAGCAATTTTAAAAGTCATATGGAAGCATGTACAACTCCTAATTTATAGCACCTCAACTAAGTTCGATACACCGTCTTAACAAGTTCAAATAAAAACAGACACAAAGACAACTAAACTAATTGTAAGCAGGATCTAGCTACTGTCGACAGTTATCAAGAATTTGTGATGCGATTTGTCCACCTCAGAGAATCCAGTGCCTGGTAATCAAAGACCGATAACTGTACCAAAGCAATACTTCCCAAGACTTAGTGTATTCTAGAAAAGTTGAGTTGGTGATTGACAGATGGTTAATCTAGTCATCACATTTAATAACCACGAGTTCCCGAACCCACAATAAATTATCAGGCAATTCAGGTTTCTTCTGGTCTACAGAAAGTGAATCTTTTCACTAGACGCATGCCACCTAACTTCGACGAGCAAAAGTGGGTAGAGTCTGGAAAAAAGCTGTACACCAGCGCTCCTGTACACAATTAAATTTATCTTGTATGTAGGATGAGCAATTAGCTTAACATAAGACTGTACTGTGACACCTTTTGATCCGAATATCTATGCCTCAATATAATGTAGTCACAGTATGTGTGGAATATACTTACTACAAAGGCGAAACGTTTAACAATTCTACATACAGAACAAACAGCTAGGGATCAAAACAATTCGAAACCCTATAACAATCAATGTGACTGAAACACTCAGTTACTCAATCAGTAATTAAGACAAGCAGATGTTTCAAGAGTTCAAAACCGTTCGTCATACTTTCTCGTTGTGTCAAATATTTTGAACAGCCGAAACTTGCTTCTGGCAGTTTTCACATCCGCGACTATGGTAATAATATCCAGGTCGAATAAATTGTTTCCAAACCAACCACTGATCAACCGGGAAATAAAATACTTACCAGGTCCTTCAAACAACCATTCCTCTCCAGCTATTCGATTAACGTTTCCATCTTCGAAATCCGAAACGGCTCGTAATCTGAGTGCCGAGTTTGGCAGAACAACAGGTAGAGGCCTAACGATATCCTTTAAAGCTTCACCTGGATACAATGGGAAAGGGTCTTGGGCGAAACGGTACTCCTCGTCACCCATTCGAACTTTAACCTGTCCATATTTATCGACTACTGGAACACCATCTTTGTCTGTTATAACAGGGTTTCGAATCACACAGTACATCATCGTCGGGACGACAGTTAGTTCCTCAGGTCCGAGAACAATCCTAAGAAATGATAGGTCGATAGTAAGCGAACTCACTTTTCATCCTGTTGGCAAACATATGTTTTAGGTCCAACAACAAGTGAGGTGACATGAGTATTCAAGTTTAGCACATGAATATAATGCCTCGGACTGATCGAAATAATCGGTGAGTCTGGATTAGACTTCATCTTGGACCTTCAAATATTTTAGTTAGGGGCATAATGTTAATTACTTACCACTAAATTTGTGGAGTAGTTTTCGCTGTGAAAAGGCAGAACTCTATGTTGAAGATCACGACCTATGTAGCAAGAAAATAAAAATGACAGAAAATCTGACTAATAGCGCAGAAACAGTGAGAACTTTAGCCAATGCTTTGACTGAATTTCACATCAATATATTACAGGTGTTGAATTTTAGTGCGAAATTAATCCATTCATTTGGCTAAGTAGTTTTGGAATTATAGCTGGTCTGAGTTTGTGATGTAAACCCTATATCTAATTCATAATACTAACTATCAACCGTAAATATTAATCCTAATTCCTCACTCTCATTCAACCGTAGTATATAGATGGACATTCTCAAGGTCTTTTTAGGTCGCTCAAAAGTCACACATAAATTATGGTCTCGCCAACTCTTTTTGTTTCCGCTAGATCGGGACATCTCAGGCGAGTAGAAAAGCCAACAACGAACAAAATACTCGTGGCATACTGGTTTTCACACTGAGTCATCAATTCTTGGAACCTGTTATTCAAAGCAGTGGTGTCCGCACCTTAAATTGACTCATCCAAGAGAAGACCAGACACTCACAGAACTGCACTAGAAAAGGAATAACATAGGCCATAAGACTTCTGTCTTTACTACACATATCTGAATCTGACTCATAATGGGGGGTGAGCTATGTAACTTCCTTTTGCAGGATATGCCCTTTAAAAGAACTGACCGCACCGCACGAATCCAAACCTGAAATATTAACAGTCCTACACACTATTTCGCAGCTTTAACCTTGAACGACAGCACGAAAAAACAGTCTGCTAGAGTAAGAATGTTCATTGAATATTCACTTGTGGATCGTATATAAACGTTAAATCATACTTCCTACCTAATTTCACAGATATTTCACTGACTTGCGCGAAAAAACAGAATCCAGACACCTAGATGAATAAGAGATTAATCGAGATGCAGTAACAGATTCAGTTTCAGTTTGGAATGGATAGGAGGCTTGATGGCCTGTGTTAGTCCTGGCAATGGTGGTCTCCCAGTTGATCCAACTTCCTTTTGAAAGAGGCGACGGATGAAGCCCCAACCACGTGCTGAGGTAATGAATTCCACTCGCTAACAAGTAAATTGTTCTGGGCTTGTAGAAGTTTTTTTGAGTGTCCTCGTAAATTCTGTTTCGAAAGGCAAGAAAAATGAAGGTAAACCAATTGCAAACTTATCACCTAGCACTTTGAAAACTGCAATCATGTCGCCTCTAGTTCTAGTACCGTGTAGTACATAAACATTGTGAAGGCTCTTCACTCGAACACTACTAGTCGAGTCAGAGCTTATGGCGAACTGTCATCTGCTTTCGCAACCTCAAATAGTGTTCGTCAAGGCTGTCCACTTTATTCATTTTTGTTTAACTTCATCATAGACATACTGATGGAAATAACATTCTCGTCGACTGAATTTTCGAGGATCGATCTCGTACTAGGAGGTACAGTTATTGACTTAGAATACGCAGATGACATTGTCCTTTTTGGTGAAGACGCTGATAAAATACAGTGTTTTGGTAGCACTGAGCAACAATGCCAGGATGTCTGGAATGCGCTTCTCCCCCTCTAAATGCAAGTTGTCGTTTCAGGACTGGTCTGTGTCAACACCTGAACTATAGATAGCGAGTGAAGTAATCGAACGCGTGGACAACTTCACTTATCTTGGAAGTTCGATCAGCGCTAATGGGTTGAAGTCTGATGAAACCTCTGCACGGACTCAGAAAGCTCGTTTGGCTTTTGTTAACTTGCATCACTTGTGGCGAAGGCGAAATATCCGTTTATCAATTGAGGGAGGAGTATGTTGTGCGGTAGTTCGTTTTGTCCTACTTTATGGCTGTGAAACGTGGTCATTATGAGTAGAAGATACTCGTCAGCTACTAGTATTTGATCGTAGATGTCTAAGAAATATTACTCGAATCTTGTGGGATCACCGGGTAAATAATAGTTAGGTTAGACACAGGGTATTAGGGAGTGATGGTAAATCAGTTGATGAGGTTGTGAATCTTCATCAACTGAGATGGTTGGTTGGGTTGACTGAACACTGATTACCACGTCTCGCAACTCTGACTAGTGTTGGAGACGGCTGGAACTAGGTTAGTGGCGGCTAAACCAAATCTTGACATCAGTGCTTGAAGTCACTAACTTCTAGACTGAACCATGTTGGTGGATGCAGACTACTTGGGTCGTAACCCATGGTTGGAGACTCTGTGTAACATGACTCAGAATCGATCACAATGGTGTAGGTGTATTACTATTTATCTTCTCTTCAACCGTGAGATTAGAATTCCTTCATGCCTTTCTTTTTACGAACTAATTCTCTCTTTCTGTACTATATCCTTATCTGCAATCTTTCACATAATACCATCATTGACTTAACTACTTCTATGAATCCGGTTTTCATCTTGTTGTGCTCATGTGGTATGGCAACTTGGACCTATGCATATATGTGCCTGGTCTTACGTTGTAACTGACTGACTGACTGAAAAGTCAAAGATGTTTTAGCATCGACGTGGCTAAAGGCCCTACGTATTGGCCGTCAAGTTCTAAAACCTTGGCAGCTATTGCATGGCGGTGTGCAGTAGTCTTTAAGTCTTGGCCAACAATGATTACTAAGTCATTATGTGCCTGGACAAACTTGCCCGCGCTATTTAAATGGGAGCGTTATTTTTCCTCGCTGAGTAAATTTCATTGTTTTGATCGTTTTTAAGTATCAAGACTACTGTCTACAATTCAACTGAATTTATTTCAGTTAAAGTATTCGATTAGAGTATCGTTTTTGTTTCTAGAGTAGTTTATCGTCGTTATTCTGAGTGCTTTGTTTTCCATTGTATTTGTTAGTAGTTTTAGTGTTAAAAATTTCTACTTTTCTGGTCACAGACCACTTTTGTCTCTGGATACTATTGTATCTACATTTTAAAAAATAAACCTCTGTTCGATGACTGGACAGTGCGTAAAAAGCAACTGTCAACGTACAGGCTGTCGATATCCCGTTGAAAGTGGCGTGCAGTGCAATGAGTGCAAAGGCTGGTAACACGAAGTTTGCATGAATTTGACGCCTGAGGCTTTCAAACGGTTCAGTAGAAACGCTTGCGTATGGCTTCGTCAGCTGTACTGTTCAGACGCAAACAGCTTGCTAACTGAGGTAACCACAATAGTAAATATTGCAAAAAAGTGTTTTAGCAAGCGCGGTCGGGATACATCGGACAGCACTCGCTCTGTCAATACGCAAATCGATCTGGAGCAAACTCAGGTGAACTAAGAGACATCTGACTCACGTTGATCAATCGGGAATGCAGTCTTTAAAGAGGTATGTCTTAGTTGAAAACTCGGGAAAGAAGTTTCCTCTGTCCCCGTCCTATAAATGGTATCCAGCGGGAAACACCTAGGAACCGCAATCGCAATGCCCGATCAGTTTCTAGCGAGACACACAACCTGACCTCTCAAGTCGTCGAAACCCCCGCTGGGATCTCACAGTATGTTTGACGCGACTGTGGTTGCCACTCCAGCCATAGTTGACGAATGAATATCCATAGAATGTCCTAAACGTTTGTATTCGTACATAAACCAAGGGAGAAAAAGAAGATGAAATATTTCTGCACTATGAGGAGACAGTACTGCTTCATCTTTAGTGGAGGGTGACTTTGGTGGGGCTCGAGCAATGTATATACGATAGAAACATCCTTCCCGTCGGTCCATACAGATCTCCCCACACAAACACTGGACAGAGTGAGCACTAAGGACCTCGATGTCTTTGGTCTGCCTAATAAACTTGACATAGCCAAATCCATGGGGCCTGGTGAACTGCACCCAAGGTTACTAAAAGAATTAGCTAACTTCGTCGCGAAGCACTTTAACATGATATTATTTACTTCACAAAATCTGTTAACATAATTAAAGACTAAAACAAGCATATGTGCTCCGTTACCTCTGTCAGTATACCTTGATATTATTAGAAGAAGGAAACGGCTGAACTGAATTTGGACCTAAAAAAGATAGTTGTGCAACAATAATAAAATCAGGTCTGATATTATAATGGTGGTCGATTTTTTGTTTCTATCGATCAATCGTGTTAGTTGAACTCGAAAACCAATCAACGTTGATGTAAAACCAAGAATGTTTACGGTTATCTACACACTTGAGAGACGATGGAAACGAAGGATATTTTTATCGGACATTTTGATTCTCAGGTTTTCAACTATTTTTCGTTGTATTTTGTTGTTTAGCATGCTAATTGGTGTTTGAAGAAGCCTTCACTTTGTGACACAGGCTGTACCGTTTGAGATAATTCGTATTTTGATATAATTTGTTCTATTTCCTAAATTAGAAGCGTTTGAATTGATCAAGAGTTTGAGTTGTGATATAATTTATTACAATTACTCAAGAAAGCTTCATGTGCTATACAGAAGAACGTAGTCTGTTCTAATCGAATAGATTTAGGTTGGTTAGTTTTGCGTTCAAGACGAATAATGGCATTTCGGTCGTTACACTTCACAAACGAACAGTAATCACAGGTGACAAACATTGGTATTCCTGGCAAACGCAAAAAGATCACCGAAGGCCTAGTGTTGGGCCAAAAAGAAATGCAACCAGATGCACCTCCAGACGTAAGACAAGTCCCTTTAGATGCATTTTATGTCATGACTCTAATGTTAGTTTACTAAGTGGATATAGCAAAATTAGTTCTAGTATCAACTGAGTTAAAAGAAAGGCAGTTGAGGGAAAGGCAATTACTAGAAATTAAACACTTGAAGGATATACAGAGGAAACAACTATCGCGCCTCAAAAGAGAACTCTGGTCTCTGAGGCTAAAAGAGAACATGTGTAGTAAATTATCATCTGCCTCCAGTTGTGATGACAAAAGACAGGAGTATGTTCGCGATCTCGTAAGCCATTCTCAACATGGCATCAGAAATAAATCTCCAGAAAAGTCAAAACCGTTTGACTATCCGGAAATAAGGAAGAGTGAGGTGACCGTGTCATATTTTAGTGTGGGTCTAAAGCTTACGAAGGTAGTGTAGAACTATGGTCTACTATGATATTAGTGCTGCTCTAATGATAGACCTAATCCTAAATTTGTAGATTTGTCATGATATAACTACCTAATCTATAAGATCTTACGTGGAAGTCACACCATCGACTACGCCAACTCACTGTATCGTATTAATTACCATTACATGATGTAGAACAAGGTTAGGCTAGAGAAACAACAATATATTTAATACGAATAGAAGATATAAGGTAACATTCAGATGGACCACGCCTGCATGGCCGAGCCATGCCATCCGATCAACTCCAGTCATTCAATTCATTCTTCGCGCCTTCTTTATTGTTAGGTATTTCTCCGCGTTAAATATTGAATATCTATTTTCTGAGTAGTCTCGTGTTCACAGCTTTGTGGACTGTGTGGCTATTGTCCAATGCCACTACAGTAGAACGAAGTAGTTTTGATAGTCAACTAGCGAAATACTGGAAATCTATCAGACAGTTGGTGTTGAATGTTGTACCCAAGGTCGAAGATGATGACGGCTCTATCTTGTTACATCATTGTAAAGGAAAGGCTCGAGAGTTATACTCTCCGTATAAGTTGATTTCCGATCGCATTTGCATTAGTAGGCCTATTGAAGGAACAAAAGTATGACCGTGAGAAGAAGAATTCCAACTAATGTTCCAATTAGTTTGTTAAGTTTAATACGGTTTATTTAGTTGTAGAGAGACTTTCCCGACTTCATTATTGTCTAATCGTGATAGGATCTA